GAAGATTCATGAGAAGTTTAAACACCAAATTGAAAAACAAACCCAAAAATATGTTGAATACAATAACAAAGGGAGGAAGAAAGTAACTCTTAAGGAAGGTGACTTAGTTTGGCTTCATTTAATAAAAGAAAGGTTTCCAACTCAAAGGCGGTCCAAACTAAGCCCAAGAGGAGATGGTCCATTCAAGGTGGTCCAAAATATCAATGATAATGTATATAAGTAAGAACTTCCTATTGAATATGGTGTTAGTCCTACTTTTAACATATGTGACTTGATTCCTTTTGCAAGATATGATCAATAGGATGAAGATATGAGGTCAGATCCCTTTCAAGAGGGAGAGTATGATGGAGGACCATCTATAGGAGATCTTCGACCACTTATTATACGCATGGTAAAAAGGATAGAAGAAGAAGAAGGAGTTTCAAGAACACTACTTTAGTGGAGAATCACATATTAGTCTTCTTCTTTTATCTTTATTATCTTTTGTAAATGTTTAAAATAGTTTCATTAGGCCTTGTATTTGGCCAAAACACTTTGTTTAGATTTGTTTAGTAAGTTTGATGGCCTTACAGGAGAGCTAGCACACCAATAGGCCATGGTCTAGAGGATTTACGCCTAATATAGGTCTTGGAAGAGTTTAGAAGGGTTTGGAAGATATCAACATCAAGGGAGGCTCCCCTACATTGAATATGAACGGTAGTTTGAGAGAAAGGCTCCCATTCCCCAGCCCTTGCCATAGGAAGTTTTTAGTTTTGCTCAAATGCAATGTATTCTAGCCTACTCCTTCACTTATAAAAGGAGATGCATACCTTATATTTTATTTAAAACTTGATTGAATGTAAAGATACTTTGCCAAATTTTCAAATTTCTACTAGACTTCTTTATCCTTTCTCCTTCAAGGCCCAACCTCCTTATAGGAACTACACTAAAACCACACCATTCAAAGCATCATCTTCATCTCTTCATCAAATTTGCTTATGCTACTACATCTCTTCCATGGAGTTCATCACTTTTGAAGCAGCTTCCTCAATCCATTCTCTATCAGGTTAATATGAAGTTAGAAGGGTAAATGGAGTGCAAACTTCAAACCTATTCACATGTAACAACAATTGGGATTAAAGAACCTACACTATGCCATGGAGAAAAGATGCAAAAAATAAAGAAAACAATCATGACTTAATTGGTGACATGAAACTGACAATTGGAACTAATATTCAAAGAAAACAACAAAGAAAACAACCTAGAACTGAACCTGCCATGAATTTGATTAAGTGAATCACAATTACTCTTAAAAAGACATTTTGAAAAAACCACAAGCCCACTTTAGGGTCTTGTATGTTCTATTAAAGAAACTTAAAAGTGATCATTCTCATTCAAATAACCAAACACAACAATAATAAATTATGGATTATGCTCAAAATTGAATATTTAATCATGAATGCAATGTTGGTACCAGCAAGTCGCGTAGCGGAGTAGTCTACGATCAAAGAGCTTTAAGCGTGTAGCGGTCAATTTAAAAAATGGTTTCTTTAATTTTCTTATAAACGTTTTATCGAACCGTTGATGTGCAGAAAATAAAAAAAGAGTATAAGGAGTAGAAAAATTACACAAATGATTTTTATCCTGATTTGAATCAAAAGATTCTACGTCCAGTCGTTAATCACTATGAATAATGATTAACCTTTTCACTAAAAACAGTTTCACAGTTACAAAATAGTGAATGGAAATTTAGAACAACAAAACCTTCCTTCAACGAACGAACCGGAAGAGACTTCCTTCGGCAAACGAACCGGAAGCAACAACTCTGCCAACTTAAAGAGAACCACTCCAACCTTTGACACACAAAGTGCAAGCTTCTCCTATTCACAAGACTTGACAAAAGCAATAACTATCACTTGAGAACTTCCTCAAACGCACTGTATTCTCAATCTTCAGATTCCTCATCCTTTTCTAAACTCTTACTTTTCGAATGTTCAAATTTGAAGGCCAATGTTTTCTTCTTTCATTGGGCTTCCTCAGCACTCAGTCTATTAAACTCGAGATCGTGCTCTCTCAACTTTCCAAAAAGCACAGCCATAGGCATGAACATCAAGTTTTGGGACTTAGTTATTGTAGTAACCTTTGGTTGCCATGTCCTGTTCAAAGATTTCAAAATTTTAACATTTAATTCATCAGTGTCAAATTTTTTACCTAAACCAAAAAGATGGTTGACGATATGTGTGAAGCGTTTTTGCACATCAGGGATGGTTTCACCCTATTGCATCCTGAACATCTCATACTCCTGTATAAGGGTGTTTTTTCTAGCACACTTCACATCCTCAGTTCCTTCATGGGTTACTTGAAGAACTTCCCACATCTCCTAAGCCGTTTTGCACACTGAAATCCTGTAAAATTCATTTAATACCAAAGCAGAGGATATTATATTGCGAGCTTTCATATCAAATTGGGTTCGTCTATTTTCTTCAGCAGTCCATTGAAAATATGGTTTTTCTTCCTTTACACTATTCAAATTTACAATAGGAATAAAAGGACCATTCAAACAAATACCCCTATCAATAGACTCCACAAATATTTGCATTCTTATTTTCCAAAAAGCATAATTTTCCCCTGTAAATAAAGGAGGACTATCAATAGAAGCACCCTCAACATACACTTGGTTATGACCGCCCATTTTTGAAAAATTTGAAAAACTATCAAAGCAAGCTCTGATACCAATTGTTGGTACCAGCGAGTCGCGCAGCAGAGTAGAAAAATACGATCAAAGAGCATTAAGCATGTAGCGGTCAATTTAAAAAATGATTCCTTTAATTTTTTTTATAAACATTTTATCGAACAATTAATGTATAGAAAATATAAAGAGGGTAGGGTAGAAAATTTACACAAATGATTTTTATCCTGGTTCGAATAAAAAGATTCTACGTCCAGTCGTTAATCACTATGAATAGTGATTAATCTTTTCGCTAAAAACAGTTTCACAATTACAAAATAGTGAATGGAAATTTAGAACAACAAAACCTTCCTTCGACGAACGAACCAGAAGAGACTTCCTTCGACAAACGAATCAGAAGCAACAACTCTACCAACTTGAAGAAAACTGCTCTGACCTTTGACACACAAAGCGCAAGCTTCTCGTATTCACAAGACTTGACAAGAGCAATAACTATCACTTGAGAACTTCCTTAAACGCATTGTATTCTCAAATGGCATAGATCTCTTTTCACTCAAAGAGAGCTTCCCTTAGGCACACAGCTCTATATACTCTTAAAATAAAAAAGTTCAATCTAAGAGCTGTGGAAAACACTATTTATAGCCTAAGGTTCGTGCAAGGTCGGAAAATGAAAAGACACATTACAACTGCCAGTGATAATCGATTATTGTAAGTGATAATCGATTATCTGCGAGACTTGGAACCGTTTGAATAATGACTCTTCAAACTAGTCGGCTTTAGTTCTTCAACTCCTTCTACCGTTCAGCTTGATCCCTTATTGTCTTTTGCCGTTTGGCTCTATCCCTTATAACTTTCTACCGTTCGGCTTGGTTCCTCACATCTTTCCAACGTTCGGTTTGATTCCTCACTAGTCTCAGTCATGCCCTCTGCCACTCGGTCCGAACTGCTCAATCCTGATTGCTCGTGTCCTGATTGCTCAATCCTGATTGCTTGACCTTGGTCATCGTCTGTTAGTGACCGTTCGGTCTTGAACTATGTTCGGCCAATGTTTGTCCTGCGTTCGGCCTTCAACTGTTTGTGACCGTTCAGTCTCAGTCATGCCTCTGCTCGGTTGCTAGGTTCAATTCTTTCTACCACCACTTTACCGTCCAACCGCTCGGTCTCATTCATGCCCCGCTTGGTCTTGGTCATGCCTTCTACCATTCGGTCTTAACTGCTCGGTCCTGGTATCTTCTGTTATACAAAAATGCTTTTAAACTTCATACAACAGGGGTCTTCATATTCTTCACTTTGTAACATCATCAAAATCATTATCCTCAAGACACCAATAATCCTTGTTGGTAACATGCAACTCAATAAAAGGACGTAATCTATGAAAAGGGTTTGTGCAAGGTATATACTAACCAAATAAACCAAGGATATATGCCTAAAACTACTAGGTATTAACAAGAGTGGATATGACGGGATAGTAACGGTTTGTTTATTTGGAGCAATCTGTTTGTTGCTGAAACGTGAGGAGTAGAAGAAGATGATGAGGGGAAGGAGGAGGGAAAGGAAGAGAGGAGCTATCAACTGAATATTCGTAAGAATTTCAATCATTTTCCTATGTGTTAGCAACTGAGGAATCGGAATTTGGTATATGTTGTTGGATATGTTGGTCATGAAGGAAAATTTGTGTATATACAAAGAATGATACGTTGGACCGTACAAACGGTGTCACCTGGATGCCTCAGCTTGCCACCTGTTAAAAAAGTTAACATCGTTAACTGCATTTAACGAAAATGCTATTATTGAATTAAATTGACTAAATTAGGGACCCAATTGATCACTTCCAAAATTAGAGGACCCAATTGAAACGAATTAGCAAATACAAAAACCTTCGAACCTATTAAACCTTAATATAAAATAAATATTATTACGTATCATAAAGTAAAAGAGGTACACGAGATTTACTCAAAAGAATTCTCACGGCCACTTTGTGCTCATTAGACTCCTTCGTGCAACCCTCAATGTAAAGCAGAAGAACTCTGTATTATACTAACACCATTCCTATGCTCTATTCCTAAAGATACAAAAACTAAGGGAAAAGAATGACTCTGTTTCGATATCTGAACATGTCCTTACTCTATCTACTATTACATGAAAAGGGAACTCCTTCCCACTCTCTAATTACAACTATTCAAAGAACCAGAAGCAGGGAAACGAAAAGGAAGAAAAGAACCCGAGCCATGAGCTACGCCTGATGTGACAATCGAGGACCGCGAACCAAGGCTTCTCTTTAAGCAACCTTGCAATCCCCTCTGTTTTGGCCCGAACTAAGGCTTCTCTTCCAATGGCCTCTACTCGCCTATGTAACCAGCTTCTTCAAGGTCCAAACTCACTCTGGTTCAACTCTGTTCAGACCCTCAAAAGGGTCTCTCAAACCCTAGCTTCAGAATTGGGGAATAATTGTTCAAAGCCCCCTCGCAATACTACTTCAGCTCTGCGTTTGGTAAGCAAAGCAGTGCGTTTTGGGCCTCTGCTGCACCTAAAGCTGTGTGTTTCACTTAGGGCAAGTAAGTTCTCAATGTTGACTAAATCAACCACTTTTGATCAAAGGGCTCATTTGACGCACATACTTGACATATAGTTTCTTTTATAAGTATACTTCTACTTCGAATTGGAATAACATATAGACATGGAAATATCTCAAATCACCTGACACAAAAGAAGAACATTTCAATTTGAAGACTAAATAATGTAAAAAGGAGCTTGTGGAGTCTTTATAATGTGTTTTTGACATTGTTATAACAGATAAAATTTATAAGATAAGTATAAAGTTTCGATACACAATCCAATAAACATGATGCACTCTTTATTTCGCTATATATTTATATAAGGAATTATACACATATGAAATGAATTTATACATATTGTTAAACCTCCTTTATGCTAACACATAAATTATTGGATTTAATTATATTTTTATTGTATAAATTTTTTGATATTTTAGTTTTGGTCCTTCAAATTTAATTATTTTAATTTTTTTAAATCAAAATAATATGATTTTAGTTTTTAAATAGCAAATTTAAGTGAGTAAAAGTATATTCAAATCTTAAATAATAAACCAGAAATTCTAAAGTTAAAATATAATTCCGAAATTTAGTAAACTTATTTCATTTTCTTTAATTTGATATTTATCTATTTACTAATATCGTATTTTTTAATTTAAAAATAAATAAATTTAGGAGATTAAAACTAAAATTATTCCAACTTTGTTTGCCTAAAAATATCACTAAATCGTATTATTTCTAGAAAGAAAAAGGAGTGAAAAGGCAGGAGGAAGTGGAAACAATCATGTTATTTCTGGAACACGGTAACACCAACGACAAAGTATGAAAAAGCGTTTCCCACTATTCTCACCAACCCCACTAAGAGGACTCAAGTACTTGTTCTGATATCAGTGAGATCTCTCAAACAGCTTCAGTGCATCTGGGAAGAAACATCACCTTCCAATGCTTAAGCTTTTTGATTCTTCTCTGAGGCTCTGTGCAGTTCCTTTATCAGTGGCAACCATATGGGTTACTGTCACTAACCAGCAGGACAACAGCAGCTATGGAATGTTGAAATATTACAAATTATCGGCTCTCAAGTAAGAATCATATTGACTATCCATTTTCTAGGCACTGATTCTCATAAGTTCTTTCTTTTTGCATATCAATCACTTAATTTTACAATTGTTTTTGACAGGTATATGGTTTTAGTCAGTACCCTCTGTGCATGTTATGCTCTAGTTGCTGCTGCTTGCTCATGGGTCAGATACTATGCATCCAAAGCTTGGATTTTCTTTGTCTCTGATCAGGTTTGATACTTTTGTTTTATGCTCTTAATTCCATTCAAAAGGGAATTAAGGAAACAAGCATTGGATTAAGGGACCCCAACCTCAGAGCCTATTTCTCAGTTTCGGTTTAATTCTTAATTTATCTTCTACTTCATAATTCTTACGTATTAGAAAATTTGAAGAAAATTGCATATGGCTTTTAGAATCTTTTGGCTTATCTATTAAGGTATCTACAATTGATGCTTCTCACAGATTATGGCATATTTAACGATCACATCAGTTGCTGCAGTAACTGAGATATATTACCTGGCTTACAATGGTGCAAGGGAAGATTCTTGGAGCGAAGCCTGCAGTTCCTATGGCAGGTTTTGCGGCAAAGTGAAGTTGGCTTTGATTTTACATGCTATCACATTTTGCTGCTTCTTTCTTTTATCCGTTATTTCAGCTTTCAGAGCGTTTAGTGTCTTTGATCCTCCTTATGTCAATTCTCTAGAGGTGCAGGGAGATTAGATAATTAATTAGGATATATGTGCACTTTAAATTGACGGTAGCCCAATAATATATATATATTATTTATATTTATATTGTGGAGCTTAAATTTATGTTAATATTCGCGTGGATCCAATTACAATTCAATATTCACCCGTACAATTCACCTGTTTACTTACGTATTAATTTAAAAGTTACACGGCCTTAAATATACTGATAGATTAATACATCATGTTTATCATGGACATTGACTTATTACTTCGCTAACTAACCGATCGAATGAGACACTGTACCATACACTTTTACTTCTTTAAAGTAAATAAGAACGCTGTATTATATTTTGGTATTCGTGTTGTTTGAAGTGTTACTGCGTTTATTCTAACCCATATTAGTTTTGCGGGTAATTAAGAAAAAAATAAACGAGAACAAGGGATGGGCCTTATCTTACACATACGTACGGGGGTTTGGAGTTATTCCCTCCACCACCGTCCCTTTCGCGCACCATGGAGAGAGCGTAACAGACACAAGCACAAAAAGGTACCCTTCATAAACAGACACAAACATAAAAAGATACTGAGGGAGGTGAATGAGAGTCGTTGCAATAATTTCGGAATAAAAAAAATAACGGAGAGGTTTAGGGAGTACATGGGATGGTGAGGAAGCAATACCCACGGGGTTTCATAGACGCAAGTCTCTAAATTACTTTAACTTTTAATTAGATTGTTAAATTTTATAAAAACAATATCCTTTTATATAAGTTATTTTGAAATTCTTGCATACCGAATTAAAAATTCATAGAAATTAATCAAGTTTTACTACGTGAGCTTATATTTCTCCCTTATTATGGATTTTATTTCGATTTAAGAAGTATTCATATTTTATTTTATTTACTTTAATTATTTAATGTAATTTATAAAGTCTATATAAAGGTATATAAAGGCATTTAAAAATATTATGTTATGTAATAACAAATGATGAGTTAAGAAGTTATCTTATTTTTGTGAGTGTGAATTTTGTTTTGATAATATAATGTCTCGTTAATATTAAATTAGTATCAGAATTTGCTAGATCCAACAATTGCTATTGTGAGCCTAAAAGAGAATGTGGATATGCAGAAAAGATATATATTGTGAGTGAGGAATAAGTCAGTTCTCATAGCCATTAAAAAAATATAAAACAAGAGTTATGTTAGTCAATTATAAATTATATAGTTACATCGCAAACTAGATGAAAAACTTCATTATAATTATTGAGAGTTTTTTTATTACTATCCATTTGAAGGCTCACAATTTTTCGAGTTTCGTTAGTTTAGACTTAATAAATAACCAATTAACTCTATCACAAATCCAACTAGGTGTAGACTATTTTATTTTTTGTAAAATTATAAGTAGACTATGCGACCTAATAAGGTTAGAATGTATTTAGAACCTTTAAAACTCACAAACTAAAAACGATGCACTATAAGAAATAAGGTTTTAATTAGGATATGAGATTGAACAACAAAAGTCCCCCTAAGACACCTAATTAGGCCAAGTTTACAAAATAAGACAATGAATCAAAATACAACTCAAAGAAAGAAATATATGAATTTAAACAAAGTGGTGGTACTCCTGTCCGAGTCTTTCTCTCATTCTATTCTCTTCCCCTTCCAAGATTTCAAGTTCCATCTAGATCTTCAATGTCGGAACAATCAGTATCGTTATAGAGTCGTGCAGCGGAATAAAATATAGATAGCGAAAAACGTGTAACAATCACAACACAAGTTAAAATAGTCGATTTCAAAAATTGATTTTCTTAGCGAACTTTTATCGAACAGTTGATGTGCTAAGAGTTTATGGATCAAGAAAATAAACACAGAATTTTTATCCTAATTCGAATCAAAAGATTCTACGTTCAGTCGTTAATCACTATAAATAGTGATTAACCTTTTTCACTAAAAATATAGTTGTACATATTACAAGATAATGAAATGAGCAAATAATAGAAAACACCTTCCTTCGACAAACGAACCAGAAGAGTGCAACAAGTAACTTCCTTCGACAAACGAACCGGAAGCAATAGCTCTGCCAAGTTGAAGAGAACTACTCCGACCTTTGACACACAAAGCGCGAGCTTTTCCTATTCACAAGATCAGACAAGAGCACTCTATCACTTTGAGAACTTCCTCGGACAAACTGTATTCTCAAAATGGCATAGATCCTTTTCACTCACAGAGAGCTTCCCTTAGGCACAAAGCTCTAATACTCTCAATTGAAAATTTTTTTTTCTAAGAGCTGTGAAGACCTCTATTTATAAGCCTAGTTTCGTGCAGGGACAAAACTGAAAAGACATCTCCCAACTACTACGATAATCGATTAGCATAAGTGATAATCGATTATTTGTGTCCGTTATGGGGGTTTTCAAAATGTGATAATCGATTATCCTACAATAGCAATCAACCTAAGCAATATCGATTATTCCAAGAACTGGACGTATAAATGAAACACATATAATCGATTATTTGTGTAATAATCGATTATTTTGTGCGAGCACTCGCTTCTAATTGCTCTTGATATCGATTATTTGCGCAATGACTCACTAATCGAAAACATCTACTATTTTTTTACAAGTCATTACAATTTATCCTATACTTTGTTTCTACAAAATGCGTTTAACTAAAGATGCATTTAGAGTCTTCAATTCTTCAGCTTTTATCATCATCAAACTTCACAGTAGCTTCAAGATACCAATGTTCTCTCATTGGTAACATTCACTTCCTAAGATACTACATCAAAGGATTGGTTCACCTTGAAAGAGAACTTCATCATAAATAATCAAAAAACGAAAAGAAAGACCAAAAGAAATCAAGAAAAAGTCTAAATGACCAAACACTCACTCCCAAGGGATGTTTATTGACAAAAACACAAACTAACACAGAATGATTTACAGTACAGCAAGAAAATAAGGCTATATATTACTAAAGAATAGATTGCACAATAGAGGCACCAATAAAAAAGGCACAAGGATAGATAAAAACAAAACAAAAAACTATAATATGAAGTGAAGTGCTTCTTATAAAATAAACCCAAGACTTAAAATATACTAGGACTTGCTCAAGGTCGAGACACTCAAGCTGCTGTACAAATAGTTTGCAGCCCTAAAAATAGATTCAAAGGCAAGCAAAATGTAACACACCAAAAAGGCTGGCGGTAATGATCATATGCACATGTTTTTCATCACTTTTCTTTTGGTCTTTTGATCACTTCTATTCTATCTTTTCTTTTGATCTTTTGCAAATTGTTTTTTTTCAATATTTTTCATAAGCAAACCGAGACCATTACTCACCACCAAATAGTTTATATATTTCTTTTAAAAGCTCAAAATAAACAAGAAGCACAAATGGAAAGAAACCTACTAGAAGCAAAATAGAACTTGAAACGCAATAAGACATAATGAAAACCTAGATCTATAACTTTCTAATGAAATAATAACAATTATGAATTGAAAAATGTAAAGTAAAAATACTTAAATAGATGTATATGGTGTAGTTTTGAAAACAACTTAACTCAATAGTTTTTTTTTTTATTTTGCGAAAGATCATTAAGAGAAAATGACACAAACAGGACTAGACAAGAATCTATACAACATGGGTGGATTTAAAAAATTTAAAAGAACCAAAACATGTGAGGACTGAACCACACATATTGACTTAATAAAATTTATAAAACACATAAAACAACATAAGATATGAGGAGCCTAAACCAAACGTGAATGGTTTTGTGATAAAGCAACAAAATAGAACCCATAACAATCAACAAAAGTAATCAGTAAAAATTCAAGACAATAAGGAAAAACATATGATGACAACTTAGACATGAAGAAAATAAGATAAATAGTGCACCAAAACTTAGCTCTTGAAGACCAAGATGACCAAAGCTCCTGATACCAAAGGATATTTTTATTTTCAAAATATAATGATGATTAAAATAGGAACTATTATTATATAGTTCACTTTAATTACAATAGTGCCACCACACTTTAGTTTTACTGTGCTAGCTAGATAGTTTTTCAAAACAATATTATATGCATCTTTAACACACCATGACAAATGGAGGATGAATTATAGGAAAAATATTTAATATACTTAGATTTAAGAAAACAAAGTCTTATAAATTCCACCTAATCAGTCCTCTTTACTATACCAATTCTCAAGCTAATGTACTAATTTTTATTCTTCAAATGATAATAGAACCTGGAAAACTACCATTCATTTTAAACTTAGAGACAATAGATCATTTAATCTTGAGCAACCTCATTTTTGTGCATCACCAGTTACACAATTCTAAATCCATTGTTCCACCCCAAAAAGGATATTTAGAGCTTATTTATAAACATGAGAACTATACTATAACAAACCAATAATTATTGAGTTTACTTATTGAATATCCCCATCTCACTAAGTAGTCTTCATTTTCAAGAAGAAAGCTTAGCCCAAACCTTATCAACCAAAGACTAAAAATACCTAGCCACTAGTACAAAAAGGTTTTTTAATAAATACCTGTTAAAAAACGACTTTTTATAACCTTTTTTAAGTTGTTGTAGATGTACGGTATAGAAAGTTTTCGTCCTTTTATACCAGTGCCAAACTGATATAAAAGTTTTACTTTTTTACACGGTTTTTTTCTGTAACAGGTATAAAAGTTTTGATATTTACACTTGATAATATGGGATGAGGTAATAAAAAACAATCGTCGTCTCTTATTTTTAAAAAACACGCTTTTATCCCTGATGGTAACCAAAACATTGTATAAAAACTCTTTTTATACCTGATGATGTTATAACTAGTGTGAAAAATAAGACTTTTTATACCTAATGTGGCTTTTAGGGATCAATACTATAACAAGGCAGACTTTCATGTGATCAAAGATGATGTGAGAAACCATGGGATAGTATTTTGCTTGCAACAAATTTGTAGTGATTGAGAGTTTTGAAATGCAGATAAACAAAGAAAGAAAACAACAGAATCTAGAAGGGAAGGTAATTTTCTTGCCATTTGACATCTTCATAAAAAGAAACGTGCATCTTAATGCTACGTCTTTCAGGCATATAAAAGCTTTATGGAAAATAGAAAATATTTAGTTGATACAAGTTAAGGTGCACTGGGATTTGTCAGTAAACAGGGTGATTGCAATCTGTTTAAACATAAAAAATGAGAACGTTGTGCTTGTTTTTTCCTTGCCTCTCAGAACTATGTTATTATGCAACCTATAACACTTTACACCTCCAAAGATACTACTTGTTGAATATCAGTAAACAGCAATTAATGGTCCCTTATATGACTTATTCCAATTACAACATAATGCAAACTTAACACAGAAATAAACTATACTAATACTTCATAATGGTATAAACTATACTAATACTTCATAATGGTATAATCTGCATCAAGGTTACAAAAATCGCACATGCCTATCAAAAATTATTTCAGCATGAACGAGATGCTCCTGATATATTAATCAAAAATTATTTCAGCCAAATAAAGCCAAATATACAAAAGCAAACAACACTCCGCAATTTCTTTCCAGCAAAAAAACATAAAATAAGCTCGAAGAAAACATCATCATAATTAAACTACCAGTCATACTTTTGAGAGCTTCTCATTGAGGAAAAAAACTTAGCTAACAGTACCAATAAAACATGAAATCATATTTAGATAATATCATATTTAGGTTACTTGTGGTTCTTCTTCGAAAGAAGAAGAAGGGAGATCGAGATAGCGTAGATGATCAAGGTCATCAAACCATACTTTTCCAGAAGCCGGAGCCCTAGAAATCATAACATTGAGCGCTTCATTGGTGACGGTCACAGAATGAGAACGGGAATTGGTGGTGGTTGGAGAGGAAGGAGGTCGGAACTGATTATGGCGACGGTGGCGTCGAGAAAACAACAAAATCCACACTCTTTCTTGTCGCCTTCAGTCGGAGTGGGCAAACGAAGGCTGCTGCACTGTTGAGGAGTGGGCTTACGAAGGAGGCAGAGTATGAAGAAGAAAGAATTTGTTTTTTCTATTGAATTTTCAAAGGGTGATTTTTTTTTCCAAACTTCTATACCGATTTTAGCATTTATTAGGTATAGAAAAATTTATTTTAAGTTATTCCTGTATCGGATTTAGCATTTATTAGGTATAGAAAAATTTCTTTGAATTATTCTTGTACCAATTATAAGTTAGCCGGTTTAAAAAAAAAATTTCTTTTTTTATACTTAATCTAAATATGTAAAAAAAAACTTACCTTATTTACAATAATACCACTACATCATTTTTTTTATGTCAAATAAATTTGAATAAGTATAAAAAATCGTTATAAAAAGTGTATTTTACACTAATGAGCCTTAAGCACCCGACAAATATTGGTAGACCCAAATAATTAGAGGGAATGAATCTTTGAGCATAAGAAAGTAATCTCTTAATTGGTCTTACAACAACAAAAGAAGACGACAAAGTGTAAAATTGATTTTTAGAAGGAGGAACCCATTGCTTAGAAAAAGTATCATATGCATACAAAAAGTCTTTTAGGTGTTGAAGTGTGCTAGTATTTCCTCGACAATAAATAAAAATATCATTAACATATAGAGAAGGATAAAAGCATCCTCCAAGGGGTCATGCCTCCAATGTCTTTTCCACTTGAAGAGTGTAAATTAATATAATTCCTACTCGATCATAAATATTAAGGCTTGGAATGCATGACGGCTTGATTTTCATCTAGTTTTCTACTTTTAAAAATTAATTTTAAAATAATTTATATTTCTTAAAAACTAATTAGTTTTTTAATTGAAAATCTATTAATGTTGAAAAAAATATAGTCCTACACAGAAGAGACGAGTTTGATATGAGTGTCTCTTCTTTACTGTGATCTTGCTTATATTGTTAGATACGATACGAGTTAGTGTATTTGTCTTTTTTTGCGGAAATATTTCAGTCGAAAATAAGAAAACGAAAAACAAATACTTTAATTACATAAAAAAACAAGTCCTTTTTTAATTATGAGATAAGTTTTCACAGAAACGAATGACATGATTTGGTATTGTTAGCTTATATAATAAAGTATTCCCCTCTTGACATAATTTATTTTATATCCAACGTGATATTGTTATAATTTGAGTTTTAAGCCACTTAGTTCACGGACACAAATTGCTATCACGTGTCATACAATGTTGTTTTCAAACATAAAGTCTTTTTTTTTTAATTTATTTAATTATTGTGCCTGTTTATTCACCAGTGAATTTAATACAGGATTCATTTCACCATATAGATAAAATAAGACATGAACCCATAACAATAATTAAAATGGCTAATAACTAGCACAATTTCATTGATAAGGGATATTACAGAGCACAATCAAAAGTCCACTAATAATAGGATGGCATTTGATTAGATTCATATCTTGATAAAACTTTTTAAGTTTCAAAATTCACAATTGATCTGTAAGTCTGACCAGGAGTCCACTGAGCAGGAATCACATTATTGGCCACGATGGTCTTGCCAGACTCAAGAGTGGTGAGCCTGATAGAGAATGGTGCCTTCAATGGTGAGCCTTTGTCAAGTTTCCAAACCGCACCCCACGATTGTTGCATTGAATCCCATGAATTTGAATCATCATGTGCTTCTTTGAGTTCAACCTTGGCAAGGTCACCATCCCCATCCTCATATTCAACCAAGGTAGCAAAATACTCTTGGTTTGACCCAGAGTCCACGCGAAAAGCTATTGATTTACCAGGATAGTTGCATTCGATTCTGCAAATAATGTGTTAGTTGCAATATTGTAACCTAAAGGTTGAAAAGAAAATACGGTAATGACAAAAACACAAACCACATATATATGTCAAAAGAATATAACTGAAAGTCAAGAATGTTGAAATATTTACAGAAAAAGTATAAGGATATTAAGAATTTGGATACTACCTTCTATGTTGAATGTTTATTTTTCCTGCATTGCGTAGATTCTGATCTTGACCTGAAACCGCCATTGCTCCAAAAGCACTGCCACTCAAATCAAAATGATATTGAGCATCTGAGCCACACCCAGCACACTCATCAGTGATCACTACTTTCACCGGGTTGCCCGAGCATGCAGAATTCCCTGTGCATTTCACCTAGAAATACAACAATAAACCTAAGTACTAAACATAATTTTCTTTCATGGAGGCATTGATCTTGTCAATATGAATCTCCTTTACTATTGCTTTTTCAAAAATGGAAATTAAGCTCTTATATATTTTTCAACATTAATTATATTAAAACAACATTGTTAGAGTCCATTTATGCATTTAATATATAATTTGTTTTAGAATTTTAACTTCTCCATTTTTTTATTTTTAAAAACACGTTAACGAATTGGAAGAAATAAATGTATTTAACCTTGACTTCAACATAATACAATATATTATATGTATAAATGGACGTAACTGAATTCAGTAATATTGGGATTAATAAATTTGATAATATATTTGGATTATAAATTTGATAATACTTGGATTAATACAAAATCATTTTTAATATATTTGAATTCAGTAATATTGGGATTAATAATTTGATAATATTTTTTTTTTCATTTTGTAACGTAGTTGGTGTAGTTGACTTAAACTGATAACTGTAAGTTGCCTCATTATACACATCATTTCATTGGTCCGGAATAGTAATGAAAATTGCGTTAGAATTGTTATACGTTTTGTGACAGACGTTTAAATTTAGATGCTGATTAAACGTTCTCACCTCGTAACAAGAACCACACCCTTTGCCGGAGTCATAAATGAGAGGGCTTCCTGCAGATATTAACGAAGAGAATGGAGGTTGCCCAACAGCGTTGCCATAACCACAGGCTCCACCTGCATATATATTTAAGGACAAAATATATAATAATCACTAAAATAAACTATTTAAATCATAATTGAAGCAATATTTGACACAACACATCTTATAATATATCCTAATAACCATGCATTCCTTTTACCTTCACTTCCATCTCCATTAGCAGGTCCATACCATGTGGCCAGTGAAGGTGACCAATCTGAACCAGATGGAGCATAATAAGAAGTGTTAAAGAGCTTTTTGGGGTTGAAACAAAAGGAAGGGTTGACTAGGAATATTGAGAGTATAACTACTAGGGTTTGTAGATAAAATAAAGCACGTTCAAGTGTCAGAGCCATTTTATCACAATTCACAAAGTTGTAGTTTCTTTGGTAGTTGGTAGCGAAGTGTGAAATATGGTGTGGTATTTATAGAGAACTAACCAGGTTCTTAATTGCTACCAAGTAAAATTATTCCACTGGGCAATATAAAAGAATATTATTAATCCATCAGAGAGAGGTTTGTGCCTTACTTTCTTCAAAGAACAGGACAAATGTCCCGTTTGAATTTCAGGTGCGAGACTTCTCTATCAGGTATTCATCATCCTTCTCTGTCTAGACAATATCTTATTGAAGATTTGCAATGTCATAAAACGGATATTATATATGAGTTCACATTCAATGTGATTGAAAATGATAATTTTCCTAATATATATACGTCAATGAGTGATATTTCATTTTCAAAGTTATCTTTATTAATGACCTTAAACATGCAACACTTATATTTTTCTTAGTTTTCTTTATTAATGATTGGAAATTAAAGATAATTTTATATTATATATATGAATTGTTTTGTTTCTAATGTCATTTTCCAAAATTTATAGTTGGACTCGTGCTTAACGATTGTCCGATACTTTTTTCTTAATAATTTATTCTTGAATATTAGGCCAATACTTTGTACTAGACTTTTTTGTTATTGCAAATTGGGAACATGGTATGAGCTAATTTTTCTAAAGAACTTCTTTCGTTTTTCCAAATGTTTGAAAATGTAAACAACACATTCTAAATGGGTCTAAATAGAAATATGTCTCTAAGATTATTCAAAGTAAAATTAAGTTATGATATCATTTTGATGAAACAAATTAACTTTTCAAGCATACACACTCTTTATTTTCTTGTTTCGCTGAAAAAATGTTGTAAAAGCATGAAGGAACCACCAAATGATCGAGGAAGCTAGGTTTACTTAAATTATTCCTGGTAGTATATAAGTAATTTTGCCTAATTGCAGTTACTTAACTAGTCTCTATATATTAAGAGATTCCCTACAAATATTAAACAAGTGAGAAAATTAACATTATAGGAGATTCGATACATATGTAGTTAAAGCATCATGATGCCTAAATTTAATTTGATAACATTTAAGAAACTTTTTACATTAAATCCTGTAGTATAATTTTTAAATTAGTTAACAAATTTAACATTATAATACTCTTTAATATTTCTCACATGTATGTTAGAGATAATTTTATTTTGAGATACGAATCTAAGACATCTTTGATCTATCACATTTTATTTTTATTTTCCTTTTCCGAAAATGTCTAGAGAAAAAAGTGGTATAATCATAGCCTTAGAAAACATTACCCACCGGCATATACAAAACTAAAATTTAACCGCTATTAATTTATGCTTTCTTTTTGTGAAAGATAGAGGCGAAATTAGTGGGTTAGTGGAAATAAGAAGAAACAATGGGAAGAAGTTTGTTCTATAAATATATGATTATTTTTATTGTTACATAAGTTCATTTTGTACGAAAACTACTAGTTTATTGCAATTGTAATTATTGCCATTATTTTCAGACTAATATATATCGTGTACGTTTTGTTGGACACAATTTCAAAAATTAATATTTAAATGAAAAACTACTGTAGTTATTATATTTTCTTTTACCTTTTAATATGCTTGTCCCGACTATGCAAATAAATTGAGTAATACGATTTTATTTATAGCAAGAACGTGTTTTATAGTGTGTACACTAATGTATCTACTAAAGTTTTTCTTAAGATATTTAGATTTAATAAAACTTTTCATAAAACGGTTATCTTTCAACTATAATTTCCCCAAAGATTTCATAAATCTTTTCCACAATACGCTTATCATTCAACAAATCATTTTTCACACAGATAATATTTTACTATATGCTCATTTCATTTAATGTTATTTGTTAAACTTTAAAACATACGAGGACATTAAACGGTTTAGTCTTATAAACGATCATGTCTTAACAAAATGGTTAGTATTTATGTCTCAGTTGTAAGCATCATATATAAAAAAAGTGTTTACATTTGGTTCTTCTAGATCAGACATAAATTTACGTCTCATATAAGTGTCAAACGTAACAAGTAAGATGTAAATGTGTTTTTTAAAATAAAAACCTACAATGCATTTTTCTCTTCACTTTCTCCTCAGCATGAAGCTCCCTCTTGGGGATGATGACCGTTTTGTGAGTTAGGGCTTTCATTGATGACCAAACGTTGCATATTTGGTCATTCTTATGTATAGTTCATTGGAAAACATATTTCCTTCCAAATGTAAAATATGCCATAGGCGATATGGAAGTCAATTATAAATTATATGAGATAAAAAGTCAATATATATATATATATATATATATATATATATATATTCTAAATAATTTAATTAGTATAATAAAATTAAATATAATTATTGTGGTAAAAGTTAATGATTAATATAATATTTATTATATTATACAAATAATTTATAATATTAAATATGTTTTATAGTCTTTGAATTTAGAGGTAAAACTCAAATTTAATTTTATACATTTTTACTCAAAATTGTAAAAATTAATGATATAGTTTTCTTAACCCAAAGAAGTTAAGGTTCTTATATATCAAATGATATATACAGCTTAAACGCAAGTGTAAAACATCATTTGACATATTAAAAAAATAACATAATTAAGTTACAAGATTATATTTATTTATTTCTAAAATTTAAGAATATTTTAAAACATAAAGCACTTCAAATTTTATATCAAAATTTAGAATTAAAAAATATTTAATTTTTGTATAAAAGATACATTTATATAAATATTGATTTAATTTATTTAACAATATGAATGGTTTGATTCAATATTACATATATAAGTAGTATTGATGGAATATTATCTTTTTTTAAGTATATTTTCTTTAAAAAACCAAATAGCACGAAGAAAACATAAACAAACATGTCTTTCAAAGAGATATTGCAACAAATAATTCATTTTTTTTAACTAATTAACATCATTTACGTGTTTGGTGGAAGGATTTACAAAAGGGGCAAAAGCACATGGGTGGACCCACTTTGATGTTTAGGGTAACATAGGTAGGTTAATGTGGCCGTATGAGGACGACGTTGTCTCTTTCAAGGAAATACTACAAATCGTGGTGAAAGGATATTGAATATGAGAGACATATTGTTCGTTAATGTAGCCGTTAATGGAGGTTATTAACAGTTGAACTAACTTGTTCCACGTGGATAATCAAACGGTTCACAGTCATAGATCATGTCTCACGTGGGCGTCTGCATCACTAGAAAACAGGCTCACCCAATATTTGGCAACAATTAAGGCAGCTTCTGCTTCTTCTAAACGAGCTTTTCATCTTTTCAACATTATTTTTATCACTGCATGTGCACTGTGCAGTGCATTTGTGACTTTCTTTGTGTATTTTTCTATCATTCCAAAACGAACTTCGCGTGTCAAATAAATAAGGAAAAATAGTTTATACTTTTAACTCATTAAACAATTCGAAGTATTTTGTTAAATATAAAATAGATAAAAACAAACCTCATGTACGAAAAATTAAGTATGTCATTTTGTATATAAGGTTCGTTACAGAACTAGCAATTATTTCTGATAATGAATAATTTTTATCTATATCACGAAATAAAAACATTAATAGTTAATTATAAGCTCTATTCTATCCAAAATAATTAGTATGATGAAAATTTTAGGTTTAATTATAATTTTAATCTTTGAAAATTGGGATAATTCATATTTTTGTTTCTAAAGGGACTTTTAGTTCATCAAAATTTAAAATATATGGTTTTAGTTTCTACAAACTAAATTTGAAGTATTAAAAGTGAGTTTTGAAACCATATCTTAAATACTAAACTTATGATCGTGTTCGTGAATGCCAAAAATTATTTCTGTCCGTGCGTGTGTGTGTGTATATATATATATATATATATATATATATATATATATATATATATATATATATATATATATATATATATATATATATATATATATATATTTTTAAGTCTCAATAAAATTTTTATTTTAGTTTTTAAGTAAAGTGATTTGATGTATGAATTTTAATAGAAATCTAACCTCAATCTAACATAAGTGACAGAATTTAATAATTTTAAAAATTAAAATACTAAATTAAACTAAATAAAAATTAAAAATCTAATTTGATTTTTTTATAAAAATTAAAAGACCAAAATTGGATTTTAGCCTTTAAGTTAATATTAACTTAATTATAGAATAAATTTAATAAGAAATCATTAATGTAACAATTAAGCTTGAATTTAAATTATAATTATTGAAAATTTTAAGTTAGTCAAATATATAATTCTCTTCAAAATTAAATAAATCGTATTTGAAAGGAAGTTTTCAACATAAATAAAGAATTTATATATCATACGAAGAAAAAAGAACACGCAAATGATACAAAGAGATAATATTGTGTTAAGGGATTTTTACGTAATTGTGTTTTATTGGGATTTGAGTGTAATTCTTACAAAAGGTGACATGATTTAAGTGGTTGACGAATTTCTTATGTATTATTTGAGGATTAGAGCACAGGACCAAATGTTTTTACTAAGACTTGAGTGTGATTCTTACGAAAGGTGACAAGATTTGAGTGGACCGAAGAATCTGACGTGTACTCCTTAAGGGCTGGAACACATGGGAGATTCACTTGCAAAAGACTCTCTAACTCTCAAGTCAATAAGAGAATTTAGATCTTTATGAGTTAGAGAAAATGAGTATGACTTTGAGAGTGAGTATTCCTTGAAAAATACCATATGTATTTATAGGGCTTTTGGTCCTTGGGTCCATGTTAAAAAATTGATAGTGTGATATAAAATAATATAAATAAAATAAAGACTTACCTTAAATATGTAATAATAATATCAATAATGTGGTACATTGCCATAAATAACAATAATAGTATTGTGATATAATCAAACGAACGAGATTTGTCATGATTACCGTTAATATGTAAATATTTGCTCCAACAAAAGTATTTTAGACTATTTCAAGATGATGAGGTTTATTTGGCCTTATTGGATCGCATTCTTT